GGAGCTGAAGGAGGGGGATCTGCTGGTGATGAAAGATGCCGGGCGCCTGGGACGGAGACGGCTTAGGACCGAGGTCCGGCATGGGACGACCATACAGGCCCAAAAGAAGCACGGTGATCCTAGATGTACAGGATCTCCAACAAGCTAATGTATTGTATAGGAACAACATGGAATCAGGGAACAAAACATGGGTTTCCAGCAACCTTGCATGATCCGTTGGTTGCGAACATACCCTGTCGGGTTTCTTGAACTTGCCATCCACCGGGTCGATCACCCGTTTGTGCGGGCAGCCCAGCGCGAACATGCCCCCTTGATCGTTGGGAGGGTTCAAAAAGCTCGTCAACTCTTCACAAACCATTTGGTTTTTCGGTTGCAGGGGAGAGTGTCACCCAGAGGATACAAAGATGAGGTTACTTAAATTCACTGAACAACTCCATGTCCGGGACCTCTGAATCACTCGCGCCGAGGGCCAACACCCTCTCGATGCATTCGCGCCATTGCTCGCGCCTGGCGCCACCGGTCTATGGCTACAGGCCACCACGCGGGCCACGCGGGCCACGCCGTTTCCGTGACCGTGACTCCACCGGTCGCGTCGTGGTGGTCGAGCCGCGCGATCCTCAGGACGCCCAACGCCACCTCCGAGTCCGTGGAGTTCGTGGAGATCAAGCCGCGCGAGACGATGCAACAGCTCCCCGGAGCGTGACCCACGCGTTGTTCGGTAAGAAGAAAACCGCTTGAGTCAAGACCCACGCGTTTTAATACTGAGAAGAACGCCCCAGCTTCTTCAAGAGAGCTGTGACTCGGCAGATGTTATCATGTTTTCAGACGTAGACCTTAAAGATTGAAGCAACCACGATTCTTCTCGGGCACAAAGGCTTAGCAGATCTTCAGTCTTCGTTTTGGGACGTAAACCCCATCTACAGTGGATTCGGCGTGGCCTTCTGCCCCCCTAGAAAACATTTATAAAGATGAGGATCTGATCTGACTGCAAAATCGAAGTGCCAAAAGGTTCCATCTACCAGGGCCCCCTAAGGGGTGTCTAATTATAGCTCCTAGGGAGCTTCAGGGGTATCCATGGATACCACCCCGAACCGGGGGGGCTCTGGTTCGTTGACAACCAATCCATTTCAGGCACCAAAACTCGAAGACCCACGACTCCAGTCGCTCCGGACTGTCGTACCGGTCTCGTACCGGTCGTGGCGATCCGGTGAGGTTGTACGACTTCTGGGGCCCGCTGGCCTAGCGGAAGACGCCCGCGTAGGGCGCCGGCACTGCCATCTGCTTCTGAGCCGATGACCCGCAAGGCGTCGGGTGCAGAGGGTGGATGACTCCAAGTTGCGAGCAGTTCCTTAAAGGACTCCAGTGAGGACTCTCCCCCCCAGCCTTGGCTCCCCCAAGATAAGCAAATGATTTGGTCCGAGCTTCCGCCCTTCCTGGGAGCTTGACGCCTGGGAGGGAGACCCCGATGAGGAGGTCGCTACAAGTCCAGGACTGATATACGCACCTAGCGCTTCCTGGTTGGGTGTCCTGTCTGGTGAGCTATAAGCGGTGTAGGGTTGTCCAACTTGGTAACCCCGAACGGAAGCAGCTGGTATGAGTCGACTGAGAGGGTAGTTCCAAGCCTGGAGGATAGCTGCGGGCCGAGCCATTTGTTCACATAGTGAGGACTGTCAGAGGATCGATCGAGGACTGTCAGAGCTCACACGAGCTGTTGAGAGGAATGGTCCTGGTGTTGCTGGTCGAAAGGAGGGTCTTTGGTGTCACAAGCTGTTGAGAGCAACTGTGTACAAGAGTTTGGGCCTAAAAGTCAGATGGATAGATGATTAATATTGATTAATAGGGGTGTCCGAACTTACCTGTAACATCCTGTAACTGTCTGTAACCATATGTTTAAGAGAAAGGCCGTTGCTGACCATCATCCTCTACTGTTACAGGGAATAGGACACACCCAAGATCTATGGTCAAAGGAAGTTTAGAAGGAACTTCCGTGTTACGAACATTTACATCACTCATCATACACCACTCATCACCACTCGTCAAACCACCACTCATCATACACCACTCATCAAACCACCACTCATCAAACCACCACTCATCATACACCACTCATCATACACCACTCATCAGATTTCGTGGCAGGTGCAGCAATTTGTGAACCTCCATGTGCAGATTTCGTGGCAGGTGCACTACAAAATGCGTTTTCGAGAGATAGCGGACGCACGAAATGCTGCATTTTTCAATAGAACCGGTGGCTTCGAACCTGGCAAGTCTAGCTCTGCGGAACGACTGTTGCGAGACGGTCTCGGGTCATGCTCGGTCGGCCGTCCATTGTGGTTAGGTGTTCACTTGTCTCTTGAAGTGCAGATTTCGTGGCAGGCGCAGCACTTTGTGAACCTCCATGTGCAGATTTCGTGGCAGGCACAGCACTTTGTGAAGCTGAGAACTGGCGACTTTCTAGTACAACTTTAGTACGTGGAGCAATCTGTAGAGCTGGAAGCTGAGAACTGGCGACTTTGTAGTACAACTTGAGTACGCGGAGCAATCTGTAGAGCTGGAAGCTGAGAACTGGCGACTTTCTAGTACAACTTTAGAGCTGGAAGCTGAGAACTGGCGACTTTGTAGTACAACTTTAGTACGCGGAGCAATCTGTAGAGCTGGAAGCTGAGAACTGGCGACTTTCTAGTACAACTTTAGTACGCGGAGCAATCTGTAGAGCTGGAAGCTGAGAACTGGCGAAATTCAAGTACAACTTTAGTACGCGGAGCAATCTGTAGAGCTGGAAGCTGAGAACTGGCGACTTTGTAGTACAACTTTAGTTCGCAGAGCAATCTGTGCAGCTAGAAGCTGAGAACTGGCGACTGTGTAGTACAACTGCAATACGCGGAGCATCTGGGGAGCTGGAAGATGAGAACTGACTGGCGACTTTCTAGTACAACTTTAGCACGCGGAACAACCTGTGGAGCTGGAAGAAGAGAACTGGCCACTTTGTAGTACAAGTGTAGTACGCGGAGGAGTCATCTCTCGCTGCTGAGTCAGCTCCCGCTGCTGTGAGTCATCTCTCGCGACTGAGTCATCTCTCGCTGCTCATTTATCTCTCGTTGCTGAGTCAGCTCTCGCTATAGCCATCTCTCGCGGCTGAGTCATCTCTCGCTGCTGAGTCATCTCTCGCGGCGTGCAGGTTTGGCGCAGTTCATACTGATAGTACTTGGTTGCATTTATGCAGGGCAGGACATTCAACTGCTGGTCAATACACCACTCATCATACACCACTCAGCATACACAACTCATCATACACCACTCATCATACACCACTCGTCATGCACCCCTCTTGTCGTGGCAAAGATACAACCCAGTACGCTGTTGTGAGCTGCTGATCCTGCAGGGGGGCACACACCTTACACACGTGGAATCCCGTGGGTCAAAAGTCCGGAGCGTGTGCGTTTGACTGGAGGACGCGCATGTTGGAGAGAACGTGGACACTCCTATAGGTCAATTTGTTCTTATAGGAAACTTCCGCCGCCGGCTTGCCCGAGAAAACTACTTGTACAGCTTGATATAATTCAATCAGTACTACGTGTGCCTAGACCCACACATCTGCAGCTGTTTCTCCTCTTCCAGTTCGGTGGGCGTCCACATCAGGGGGGGGTCGTACAGGAGAAGTACCGCCACCCATGGCCACCAGGTGCATTGAACGACCCCACCACATTCCTCGGTGGCTAAAACCTTCAGGGATGAGGACAGGCGTACAAAATCGACAGGTGGAAGAAGGCGACTGTTCAATTTTCCAGTAAGATTGAGGGGGTCACCCCAAAATCGCATGTTGGAAGGGATCATTTGAGAGCACCGAAAGCTACAAAGTGGAAGCCAGATCTTCAGTTCAAGTCGTTTTCGAGGGCAGCCAGCCAGCAAACCTGCAGGCCATGACTGAGATGGAACTGCACTGACTGACCCTGACGAACTGCACTGACCGACTGCGCTTGGCGCCCTTCCTGGGAGCAGAGGAGCTTGCTTTTGTGGCTCATGATGATTTAGACTCATCGTGTCAAGCCAAAGTGCACGACTCAAGAACGGTTCGTTCGAGAAGAAATCGCTGTAGAAGGCGGGTTTGACTCAAAAGGAGGTGTTTCCTTTATGGCCTGTTTCAGAAGATGTGTGAACACTGTCCAGTTACTGGAGACTCAAATCACCAGAAGGCCCAGGTGTTGAAGACGGAAATGCTTCTGACAAGCCCACCCAAGAGCTTTGATAACTGTTGGTTTCCCGTTGATGTTCCCTTTTTGAGTCGATCTTCTTTAGGTTCAAAAAGGATCATGAGATCCCTTTTGATGACAAACCCATATTCTTTTGCATAGCCTCTCATCCATCCAGCCCTCTTCGTGTACAGTGTGCAGCGATCGACGGGGATCGGAGAAGACCGAGCGAAAAGACCGACCGACCGTACCGTCGTACGCACGATGAGGTCCGCAGATGAGGTGGTGTTTCGGTCCCACAAAATAGAAGCAAAAGAGACTGATGATAGAATCTGATAGAAGGACCGAAGCAAAATGAGTGGCAGTTTGGCCACGAAAGTCTTTTGGGGTGTCATGTGAACACTCCATGAACGTAGTTTTTTTAAATGAAGGTTTTCTAAAAGGCGAACATTGTTAAACCATCATTAGTAAACCACTGGTTCCCCTAGTAAGGCACTTGTCCCTAGCAGCGAAGACACTCCAATCGGCTCGGTTCTGCTCCGAACGATCCGACACATCGGACAACCGGGACTTCGGCGCCCTTTTCGTTCAAACATGAGGAGGGTTCACGGTGCCAGCATGGTGCAGCCATACAGGGTAGGGGTTTTTCCTTGTTTGCAAGGAAAACGCATAAAAACACACAGAGACCCAAAAGCTGACACTTCTTGTTGGTTCTTTTTTGTTTCCTCGTCCTTCTCAGGTCGTGTTTCTTTGGTTTTTTGTCCACAAGAACTCTCCGTGCGTGGAACTCTCCGCTCATCTCCTCCTAAGGATTGATCGCGCCTGACCTGCCCGAGTTGGACCTCTTCCTAAGTCAGGACTGGTCCAGCGATTTCGCGGCGTGGTGGTCCATTTGGAGCAGCTGGACCACAGCTTCATATCCTGGCCGAGTTCACATCACATGAATGAATCACCTTTTGAAAAAGGAGACTCGCTTGAGAAGAAGCTATGGAGGTTGATGATTACCACTCGCTTGATGAACTTGCCAAAGATCTCTCTGATGCTGAGCGAAGGGCATTTGTGGATCTACTGGACCTGGCGGAGAACGTGTGGCGGAATTAACACGCAGAAGGTGAGCCGTACGAGTACCCTCTGGAGCACGTACCTGACATATATTCTGAACATATAGGTAGGGCAGGTAGGGTACCATCTTCGATTTCAGTCGAAGAGGGGCGTAGCACTAGGCTGTCGGGGAGAGGCTCTTTTGAGGGAGGTCACCAGCTTTGCCCTCGGCCACTCAGCGGCTGCGCGCTGGACAGAACTCCCACCCTTTTCGATGGCGGCGGAGGCACTCGTTCACGCCGGCACATCCTTTGCGTCGCCCTTCTCACATTCCTTTTCGTCACATCCTGCAGCTGGTAACAAAGGGCATCGCTACTAGGAGCAGGAAGCTACTAGTAGCTACTAGTAGCTCCTGGCCTTCCTACTAGTAACAAGAGGACGCTACTCGTCGCAAGAAGCGACTACTAGGCGGAGGCCATCGCTATCAGGTTGGGAGGCCATTCCTACTATAGTAACAAGCAGTTTCCTCACAACACTTCTCTCCCAGCCACCCCGCCGGTCTCAGGAGGAGGCCCTCTGCGTGGCCTTGTTGGGCGATCGGTCCGCGACAGAAACCTTCGGCGAGCAGAGTTGGCCGGTGCCAGTGCTGGCGCAGGTGCGGGTTGGATCAGTTGGGAGGTCGGAAGTCGGAGGTCGGAAGTCTATTTGGGTCTGGCTGCGGCTTGCTTCTTTTGACCAAATAAGCGCTTCTTATTACACTTCCGAACTGACCATTTTGGTGTTTGCGGGATGGAAGGTGGTATTTTCGGTGGTTTCGATGGCGTGGGATGGAGATCTGGCCCAAAAGATGATCCTCAGCAGGGACCTCTGGCGTGGGGTCCGAAACTCAGTTGGTCCAGCCCTGCAGCACCAGCAGCTTGAAGTTCCAGCAGCTTGAGTGCCCCTAACTTAGCAATTCGTGGTCCCCTAGAACCCGGTGCTTTGATCACCGTTGGTCCTTTGCACCGGCCTATGGACAGTCCTTGGAAAAATATATGAGTACCGGTCACCGTTTCATGTTCCCCGGTGGTAAAGATGGGGAAAGGAAGAATTCAGAAAGTTAGTGGTCCGAAGATGGTTTGTATTTTGACAATGATTTGACCAAACATCCCCAAATCGGCACCTGCTTTCAGGTGTCGTAGATGTTTTTCAAGCCATGAAAGAAATCATGCACGTTGAGGCTACTTTGAGGCGACGACATGCAGTGTGTTCACTTTGAACTCCATGATCTAAACTTTTGAGATCACGACGTCAGCAACAGAGTGACTTGTGGAGACACGAGATTCAGAGGTCAGGTCTGTTGAGCGAAATTCCGCTGACCGTGGGAGGTGAAAACAAGGGCAGCAAGGGGGTTGCAGTGGGTTTTGTGGCTAGAAAATTGCATCTTTGGATTCTAAAGGCATCTCAAAACCATTGGTGTGTAGCGGAACATGCCTCATTTATCAGTGGTGCCACGTTCTTCATTCTTCCACATCTTCCAAGTGACAAAACAAGCAGCTCCACCCTTTCCAACGCTCGGCAGGCGCAGCCTGCTGGTTGCCCTGGTATCTTGATGCCATGGTGGGCCTTCCTGCAACAAGATTGGACTCGCAGATACACGGAGCTCCAGATCCGCGTGCGGCTGACCGTTCGGACGTGGCGGTGGGACTTCCCTTGGTTGGCTGAAAGTCAAACAACATCTGTGGGGTCGCAGTCAAAGCCAGACAATTCATTGGGACATTCGGCTCGGTCGCCAGTTCAAGGAAGACCACAGCTGCGGTCTTGCAAACGGAAGGTCTTTTTGGTCACGTTGGGTCTGGCGGTTGCATGGACCGCATCGACCAATCCCGGTCCCCCGCCGGACGGTCGGTGGACCCGCCGGTGGGCGGTGCGACGGTCGGACTTCAGCGGGTTGCCAGTGGGGATCAGAGATGACCACGTGGCAGTCTGAATGGGCTGATAGATTCTTGGGCTGATGTCAGTCAGATACATTCCATGAGTCCGATAGATCGAAATTGTGGAGGTTCTTCAGGATTCCGATCCTGAAAGAAGAACATGCAGTCGGAGGCGTATGACAAAAACGATGGTCATATTCATGTCGAGGGAGTTCTTTCTTGGTTTGAAGAGGGTTTCTGATGTCCAATGGATTCAGAGTTGCCGAGAAGACTCTCATCCCCGTCACCTAAGACTCCGAAGGTTCTACGCCTCACGGCCGTCAAGCTTACACCCGACTAAACCTTTGGAAAAGGACTGTCCAATGGGTAGATCGTTTTTTCCCGGAGGCTGGTTTAGATTTTGGGGGGGGCTGCGCACGCTCCAAACACCTCTATTAGAAGGTGCACGGAGATTTTGCCCCGGCGCAGAAGCGCTGCAGGAGAAGCTCTCGCGTGGCCGTGTGCCCTGGGAGAGCAAGGCGCGGGCGAGAGACCGCAAGCAGGCAGTGGAGCAGGGAAGGGAGTCCAATTTTGAAGGATTTGAATTTCGTCATGACAAGACTTCGGATCAAAGGCTTGTCACACATCAGAGAGGCAACTGGTCCTGCTGTTTTTGTTTCCTCGCAGCCACTGCGCCCCACGAAAGAAGCCAGTCAATGGCCACACCACCTATGTTTGAGCACAAGAGGCACTGCTTCTCCTGCCTGCAGTATGTTCTTGAATGGACCCACCTGCGAAGAAAGAGCCTCCTCAAGATTTCCAAGATAATTATTGTTGGGCTGCTTCTCTCAACAACGGGCGTTGTCACACTGAAAGGGGGTTTTCTCGGAAAAGGATGACTCCTTTCGCAGGAGAAAAGCGGCGGGAGCTTGTGGTAACAGGGATCACCTGGGCGAAAAAGACACGCGAATCATAAACAGCAGCGCATGGCTGCGCCATCATCGAACCTGGTTGATTTTTTTATGCCTGGTTCAACTGGTCAGGCAACCCTGGATACCATCTGGAAGGGGAAAAAACCCGTGACGATCGCCTCAGAAAAGTCTCCTCTCCTTCTGCCTGCTTGGAAGCTCGTTCGCTGGACAGGTCTCGAAGCTCTTTTGGCGCGGCTCAGACACGCATTGCCTGCGCCCACACAGCTGTCAGGCGAGACAGAAAGACAGCTTGAGCAGATGGGCTGTTAATCGTGCCTATTGGGAATCAATGTGTGGAAATGCCCAGGCAAAGTCAAGATGACTAGTGACCAGTGTGGCTGTCAAGTAATCCCACTTCGGCCATCGACACGTTTAGGTACTCTAGATGTGTTCCTCGCAATCGCTGCCAAGAGTGAAGTTTGAGGGCGAGGCTCTTAGAGTGCCATCCATCTAGAAATCCATTTGGTAACTATACTGCGAGTAGGATCAACACCCAGGTTTTGGCAACGATCCTCTCCTTTCTTAAATCCGAGTGATCAACATGAGAGGAGAGAGGACTTTTTGGTTCTTTTCTGGTCAGCCCTCGCTGAAGACTGAAAACTGGGTTTGCACCCCAACAATGTCGTGAGGATATCAGAAAGTTTCAGCACACCCTATGAGCTGTTTGGGTAAGCTGTATATCTCACCCAAACACCTTAAGATCCTGTTCGCTGACCGATCAGCCACACGGCCACTCCAGGGCGCCAGCTGCGAGTGTGGGAACTTCACAGAGAACTGGATGGACTATCCGCGTGCTCGCTTGGTGGCTTGGCGACGAATGGGAGCTGCATGAAGTGGAGGGATGAGAGGTTCAGGGAAGGGAAGGAAGTTCAGTTGGAAGAGTTTCGAAGGATGAGACAGACTTTGAGAAACGAAGGCAGCCAAATCCGCGGAAGAGATTCTCTACGCATCCCTGCGGGCGAGTGACCATCTCTCGGCAAGATCCCTTTTTCGGAGGTGTTCTTCCCTCGTTCTTCCCAGAATGGACGACGGTCGGTGCGGCATGCTCCTTCGGCTTGGGTTCGTTCCGACGTCGGTGGGGATCGCCTTCGATCTGGCTGAGGTCTTGTGGTCCATGCTGATGCCGCAGAAGGTGAGGAAGAACGATCCCATGCACCGGCCGAAGAACGATCGGGAATCGACCGGCAGCTGCACCGGTTTTTTGAGGGTCGTGAAAACTCTCAGCGGGGTGGAATAACAGGTATAGATAACATTGGATACCATTCCTCGGGTCTGTCCAAACTTACCTGTAACACTCAGTAAGCAAGTAAATCACTATTCTTAGAAAAAGGCCTTTGCTAACCAACCTAACCATCCTCATCCACTGGGCCCTGGTAATAAGATAGACCCAAACCCATTCCCGCTTTGAAGTTCCGTCTCTCACATGGACTGAGAAGCAAGGGCCCCTGGGATAAGGCCCCTCAAGGGATCCCGGCACACGACCTTCACGGGGACGAAGGCGAGCTTTCCAGAAAGGATTTGAAGCGGAAAATCAAGTCATGTAGCACTGGCCACTGACCCCTACCCTCCATCCTGCTGATCTGAAAGCGCCCTGTTTGGATCGCCCTGTACGTCCTGCGTGGCCCAGAAACGGCCGGGGCACGACTTGCTTTTCGCATCGACCCGATGGTGCGGCGATCGAAGGGTCTTTGGCCGATTGGAGGGTGAACACCGGTCACGCCGGGGCGACACGACACGGCAGACCACAGGAGACCACCACCACATCCGATGTGTTGCACACGTTTTCGCGAAAAGGCAGTTTTGGAGCACGGAATCGAATCTATACAGGCACTCGAGTCTGAAGTCAAATCAACGATGAAATCATACTACACATCATGTCCATGGCATGACTATACTTTGCTCGGTTCGACCCGACCCCACTGCCCCTATATCCATCCATCTAAGGGTTCTGGTGCCCGCACTTCCTTGCCATCCATCCACGTCACGTCGTTTGCACGTCTTCGTCTCGTCTTCGTCTTCGGAGGTGGATGCCAAGTTCACCAAAGACGTGGTGCACCAGGCCTTGAGGCCTCGCTTTGAAGAGCATCGCCTGCTGGTGGAGGACCCGGATCGTCGCCGCTGCACCGGTGTTTTCGTCGGGACGGACGCCGCCGACGCAAACGGGCGGTGCACGGTGTCGTGAGGTAGCAGCCTGGTGCACTTGGGGAGAGTGTCGCCAAGTTCACACTCTTTTTTGATCAACTGGACATTGGTCAGGTGATCTGGTCGAACAGATGTGGAGCCAGGTGACCGTGTTTCTTGTGCCGCCCACCACGCCACTGGAACCTCGACATGTCGTCTCCCTCCGAAAAATGTGAGAAATACAAAAACACCAACGGCAGAGAATCCAATGGCAGAGGTGTTGGCCCCCGCAAACGGCTCAGCGCACCGTGCTTCCTCTTCAAACACCCCACGGCGATCTTGCAGCGTCTCTGGTGAGGTCGGCATGTGGTGGCACCCGCGCCACTGGGGTAGACCCACGATCCTCCGCCGCTTCGCTTGGCGTCGTCGAGTTTGTTTGTAGGTACCTTGAATTATAGACCTATTTGATGTGAGGTTTTGGAGAAGTGCAGAGAGAGAGGGAGAGAAATCCGTACTGATTGCATGTCACACGCACCACAAAAAGACATCGAAAACGAAAAAACACCATTACTGGGCCATATGGCTCAGTGTTGGCGACGTTTGGGCGATTGTCTTCGTGAGGAGATTGTGCCACCAGAAAAGCACGTGGACTACAAGTTCCTCATGTGAGCCCTGCTTCAGCTCCTCACAGCCCGCGTCCACCGCGTCGGAGTTACTGGGCTGGTAGAAATGATCCCGGCAAGAGACCCCAAAGAGTGTGTTTGAGGTCTAGAGGTGTAGCAGCAGAAAGTCTAGAGATCTAGACGCATTGGGGTGATGGCGGTGGTGATGGTGGTGGATGGAGGTTTGCAAGCTGGGAAAGGTCCAGTAGGCAGGTTGCTAGGAACAGTTGAAAAAGATTCGTAGGCGTCTCCAGTCGCAGGGCAAAAGCGTATCCTGCGAAATCCGGATGAGAGAGTTCATCCGCCCAGGTGTTGAATTCACGTGGGATATGGCTAGGGGCCACACAACCTTCACGGTGTAAAAGCAGCACAAGTTCCATAAGGACGCCCGCCAAACCCAAAAATGTACTTTGGGGAAAGCTTTTCCTTACAAACCCAAAAGTGTACCAGAAAGACTTGAAACCTATGATAAGGCTCGCACTGTGAGAGCGCCACGTCACTGCAACTTATTAGAACCTGCGGGTTGCCACAAAGTACAGCGCCTGCCACGAAACCTGCACTTCAAGGTCCACAAAGCACTGCGCCCATCACGAAATCTGCACGTCAAGGTCCACAAAAAACTGGAGCTGGCAGGAAATTTGCACTTCAAGGTCCGCAAAGTACTGGGCCTAGCACAAAGTCTGCACTTCAAGGTCCACAAAATACTCTACCAAAGTATTGCATCTGCTACGAAATCTGCACTTCAAGGTCCACAAAGTATTGCACCTGCCACAAAATGTACACTCAAGGTCCACAAAGTACTGCACCTGCCACGATTTCTGAAAATGGGCCACATGTCCAAAAGTCACGATTCACTACCCATCGCCATGTCCAAAGTATTGCGCCTGCCACAAAATCTGCACATCAACATCAAACTGCTCCGATCTCCTGCACCTGTCAAAAAAAGTCGACTTTAGACCACCAAAACACGAGGTTTCCCTTGCGCCTGGCACGAAAAGTGATCACCAAGTCCAAAAACGCGCACCTCGCCACAACGAGAGCGCACCCACAGGGCCAGGAGAAGGGAGTTGCCCAACACAGATTCTGTGTGTACTGTTTGCGAAAGTGAGGCTTGGTGAGAGAAGCACTTTTATGCAAAATCAATTGCATTTGTTTTGCTTCTTTTGTTTGCGGTGCTGCTTGACTGTACTGAGAACCATGTAAATAGCGAGAATTTGTGATTTTTGTCGTCTAAAACCATCTGCTTTGGCTCGGACCTTGCCGGGCACTGTCCAAAGCATGCTGTGGAAGGACGTCGTGCGGACGGCGGAAGCTGCACACACCCTCCTGGCGCAGCTGCGCCGCAAGGCGCTCGGACAGCTCTCTCGGGAATCCACGCCGCTCCAAAACCCCCAACTACCTGGTGCTGCGTCAACACGATTATATTTGGCAATGATTTTCAGCCAGTCCAAAAAGGGGTGGCAAGGAACAAGTTGAACAAACCAAGAGCTCTGTCGGAGAAAGCTAGAGGCCTACTACTTTGATGTGGGCGTCGATGGGCGCGTCTCAGCTGCCTGGAACTATGCATTTGACGCAGCGCAGCCGGGTGGTCGTTTATGCTGAAATATACCACCTGTCCGGTCGTCGCGAAGGGCGAAATCGTCATCAAGGATTATATGATGACACTCCACATTCAGACAGCCGAAGCGGAGGTGCGTCCCCGAGACCCTCTTCCGCGCCGGAGCTAGGCACGGCAAGATTCCGTTGATCTAGGGAAGGCGTCCCGGGGTTTGGCGCGCAAAGTGCACCCGAGCTTGTATGCTCCCTGTCCATTTGTTCCTATTCGAGGATTTCCTGCAAAGAAAACAGGAAGAGCAATTCGCGAAGCAGAACAAGGCGCTCTTCGAATGTGCTGCTCAAGCCATGAGATCTTTTTCCGGTCATGTGTGATGAGGTCCACTATACTTTTCGACGCGACAGGCGCAAGAGAGAATAAAGAAGGAGAAAACAGAAGAAGAAGAAGGAGGCCAGGCGAGACATTTGTCTTGCAACCTCGTCAATAGTAAACACGCGTTGACGTAAGCACAACTTCCACCTCTTGGCCCAACGCTATTTCCCAGAGCGCCGTACGCATTGCATTCACCGTGGCATGTTCCAAGTGGCTTGACCACTCAGTATCGATCGGAAAACCGCTCACAACCTTGCAGAAGGTTTCGTCGGATACCAACCTCGCCAAGTAGTACAGTTGTATGGACCGCCTTTGCAAGCATCCTTGGCTCGCGGCAGCAGTCATCTGTGTGCTGTCCACGCATGTCAAGAAGCTTGAGGTCCAAGAGCTCTTTTGCGCAGCCCTCGCGATGGATAATTATTATGGGCATCTCTCACACTTCTCGCTCGTGCTCTCAGCCCCGCACACTCTTCTAGGACTCTGTCGTGGGACACTCTTATTTGCCACTCTTGTGGGACACTCTTGCGGAACACTCTTGTAGGACACTCTTGTGGGACACTCTGTAGGACACTCTTGTGGGACACTCTTGTAGGACACTCTTGCGGGACACTCTTGTAGAACACTCTTGTGGGACACTCTTGTCGGACACTCTTGTGGGCACTCTTGCCCCCCACACAAGAGTGTCCTATACAAGAGTGTCCCACAAGAGTGTCCTATAAAGAGCGTTCTGCGTCCCACAAGACAGTCCTACAAGAGATACAAGTCACCTCCGTCAAGCACCAGAGAAACTGCACTTGGACATCTCAGAGCGGAACTTTTCCGCGAGCCTGCACAGCCCAAAGCGCGCTAGCCCAGAGAGCGTACCCTGGTCGACCCCGGGCTTTTTTACACTTACCGTAAGAACCCCTCCGTGTGGACACGCTGTTGGGGGAATTAAGACAATATCAGTCGTGTGGCGCGCTCGTCGTCTCCACGGCCCGCGCAGAGGTACCTGGACGGCGTCAGTTTGTCGGACCGGCTCTTTTGGGTGCCGACCGCAGCGGTTTCCCACCGGTGCGATTCTGTCGAGCCTGTTGTCGGGGAATCATGGCTGGGTTGGAAGACATGGTTCAAGATTGAATGTCGGAGAGAAGTATTCAAATAGTACGTTTCACTTCTTGTCTGTGACTTGGGTTCGAACTCCAACGAAACAGGTTTAAAAGGTGAGTTGTTTCAAGCGACTGACCTTGAAAAAGGACTGCTCCATGCCCGTTCCTGGTTTGGATTGGCCGAAAGACCACGCAGCCCTGCTTTGCTCATCTCCAGTTCAGGTCGCAAAGGGCCCACCTCCACCCATCCCTCAGGTCGCTCAAGTGACCAGGCTCCCAAACCCACACCGACTGGGCAAAATGAAAATGCCGGAAAGGGGAACCGGAAGCGTCCTTGCTCGTAGTAGTACGGCCAGGAGCCCCTAGTAGCTTCCTTTTGCTCCCCCTTTGCTCCTAGTAGCTTCTTGCTCCTAGCAGTACGGCCAGGAGCCCCTAGTAGCGTCCTTGTTCCTAGTAGCGACGCCCTTTGCTCCTAGTAGCTTCTTGCTCCTAGTAGTACGGCCAGGAGCCCCTAGTAGCTTCCTTTTGCTCCTAGTAGCGATGCCCTTTGCTCCTAGTAGCTTCTTGCTTCTAGTAGTACGGCCAGGAGACCCTAGTAGCTTCCTTTTGCTCCTAGTAGCGATGCCCTTTGCTCCTAGTAGCCTCTTGCTTCTAGTAGTACGGCCAGGAGACCCTAGTAGCTTCCTTTTGCTCCTAGTAGCGATGCCCTTTGCTCCTAGTAGCTTCTTGCTTCTAGTAGTACGGCCAGGAGCCCTAGTAGCTTCCTTGCTCCTAGTAGTGAGGGGAACCTTGGCGTTGAAATCAGTGGGCCCAAGTCCAAACAGGTTTCTCAAGTGTAACCGATGAGACTTGGTCAAAGCCTCCCTGATTGAAGGACACTAACGCCATCTAAGACCATTGGCCACAAGGTGTTTGCGTGTTGAACCATCTCAAAACCAGAGGTGGCACACCAGGTGGGGTCTTGATTGATATGCAAGCCACCGTACATGTGAAGCACGTGCAATCTACCTCCACTAGTGCGGAGCAGCTCGGTCCCAAGGCCTTACAAAGTTTGATCACAAGCACATTGTAGGTATACTCGCACAAGTGCCTGCTTTCTTGATTTGATTAATTAAGTTGTTTGTTTTACAGAGTTGTGTAGAAACCCGTTTTAGTAAGCTGAGCAACTGACCCCTTTTCTGGGATGCCGCCATTCGACTCCATACCCTTTTTTGTTTGCCCCGCTGCCCGCTGCCGAAGCTCGGCTCCCCTGTTTTGGCCCAACTCCGGTTCGCCACCAGTGCGTCTGACTGAGTCGCTTCACAGCACGTGGCCTGTGGTTTGGCCAACTCCAGGTGCTGCTGACTGAGTCGGTGCTCTTCAAAGCCGACTCCAAGCTGCACCTGGACTCCGTCAGCGGAAAACGAGTCTGCACACGGGCGGGGCGAGGGTTCACCGGCGTCCGTGCAGCGCGGTGCGCTACTCGATTCACGGAGGGCGTTGGTGTTTTTTGGGGGAATGGGAAGTGTGAAGGGATGAAGATTTTGTCATGAACGACCGTGTTTCTGGTGTTTCTGGTATGGATTTGCGCCTAGCATCGTCGGGATTGGAGCACAGAGTTGTGAGGAATAGCTGTTGTATCAATCATCCAACAGAGCGAGTAGCTGTTGCACAGTTTGTTGCACTTGTTACAGGAATGCCAGTTTCACGGTTGCCTCTCCCTGGGTCACTCTTGGATTTGTATGCCAACGCAGGGTCAGAGATGGTTCAACCATCAATGTTCCAAGAGGGGTTCACTTTGAAGGCAAGTTCGGTTCACTCAAAAAGTTTCTGGATCGAGAAGATCTTTGAAGGTTTCTGGGGTGTCAGACTCGGGATTCAAGCCCAAAGGAGGTCGCAGGTCTCTGACATAAGCAAACCTGAACAACATCTCCATGAGTGTCCGTTCCAATGTGTTCGGAGGTCTCTCCGACCACATCGCCATTCGAAACGAAGGGAACATCGCCATTCGCTGCGCGTCCGCCCCAAGAACCACCACTGTCAACACGCCACGCACCAGATCGGTCGCCACGGGAATGTCCCACAGTCACGCACAGCGATGCGGTCGACACAGCGATGCACAATCGGAGTCGTACGGTGGAGGGAGCCATGCAAAATGCCAGGCATGTTCCAGAGGTGTCAGGCAAAAACCTCTCCAACAAAGGTTCCTTTTGGTGGTAAAAACCTATCGTTTCACCATCTGAGGCAAGTCTGGCTGGATGGCAGTCTTAAGGCATGGGAACACTATGTTCCGGTGGCCGAGGCCGGCAGGAAATGGGAGAAAAGTTTGTCGTTTGACGTGGCGTTTGTCCTGGCGAAAACCTCCTAGAGAATCCCAAAGACCGTCGGACCGTCGTTGAAGGGACAGTGGAGCAGTCCTTTCTTTCACATCCTTTTTGTGCTCGGATGGTTGGAGCGTGGGAAACAAGCGTGTTTTGAACCAGTTGTGTTTGGAGCGGATGAGAAGTGTCCCATGGACAACTGGCCGTCGACCTGTCGACCTGTCGACCTGTCCCGTCGAAAAAGCGTGGCGCTCCATGTCATGTTCAGAGTTGTGACCAACATGATGTATCGGAAACCACGCAGGATGACTCTCGAAAACTCGGAGTTGACTTCGGAATTGGCTGATTATTGTTCGGCAATCGTGAACAGCAATGTCGCTCACGCTTACTTCAACCTCACTTTGGCCTATCGAGATTGCCATGCTGTGGCCCAAATTGTGAGCCAAAGGTTGACAACCCTTGAGCAAGCATTAGATTGGATGAATGGGGAAGATCCTCTCCTCACCCCTTTTCGTGCGTGATCAACTTGCCGTATGAGAGGGAAGAGCAAACTGCCAAAGATCTGGCTACGGCCAAACAAACCACTTGTCTGCACGGATTGAAGTTCAACACAAAGCGTGAACCGGGACCGTTGATGCCGCCTGACGTCATAGCTTTAGGACGAATGACTTCGGAGACTATGGGGCACGCACTATTCCCCATGCATCATCAACGTTTGACCAGGGAGTTCGCCAGGCATGCAGCATGCAAGATGACTGCAGAAGTGTACTGCCAACTCGTCGCGTATTGCGCGTACCGTCATCCTGGTCCTCATCAAGTCACTTACCTAGGATGCGTATGGGTTGGAGACGTGCTGCGCGCTGCTGACGACGATATTGCTGATCTTCCAGTGTACGTCATCACGCAACTTGGTTTCCAACAGCATTGGCCCACTCACAATGTCCAGGCTGTGAAGATGTGTGAAGTCTAAACATACTAATGGCAAGGCGCTCTTCGTGCTCAATCCCAGTCGCGCCGCACCTTGTGAGATTCTTGAAGGCGGGAGATCAGCATTTCCGATGACCTGGTCTAAGACTATTGGTTCTGCACCATACGAGCAGCTTAGTACGCCGACTATTTGGCTTCGTCGTGAACCAATTGGCACGTGGGCTCATATTCAAGGTCATCGTCTATCAACCTATCATGCCATTGGGGCAAAGGATATCGCAGAGATCCAATCTGATTTAAGCGACCTCAATATGGCCACGCGTGAACAGCTGTTAGCTAGACTAGATGCGTTGACCACGCGCAGTCCGAAATTCTCAGCTGAGGAAGTTGATCGCTGCTCGGCCAGAGGATTTATCGCTCCGACCCGTCTTTGCGTGGACCCTTTCAATGTTGCCTTAGTCCAGCAGCTTCTGTCTCTGAGGCTCAAAAACTCGGACGACCCGCTGTCGGCTTTACCCCTCAAAGCGCGGGTGGCTGGCTCCACACGTGTCCACGCTGGCCTCAGTGTTGACGTCTGAGATCAGCCGGTATGAACAAGCTCTCGATGCCATGCTCCAAGCTAAGCTTTGATACCCATGTGGACCAGGCTGCCGAAGACGTCATGAAGCTGCGCCAGTTTGCTGCTACTGGTGACCCGGCCGCTCTGCGCGGCTTTGATATATCCTGGTCCTCGCACGCGGGATTCCCTTGCAGCAAAGGCGTTTCGAATCTTTTGAGCTGCCACTCGATGAGCCAGATCTTGACTGGGATTTTGGCTGGCGATGAAGCCTCTCTTGAAACTTCAATGGTTTTCTTGGTGTTCAGAAGGAGTAAGATGCAACGTCTGCAGGAACCCAAGCTCGTCAAGGACGAATTTGAGAGTATGGCAGTGCAAACTACCAAGCCTTTAGCATGTCGCATCGGGTCGTACGGCAATTTGGTAATGCATGCAGTCAACAAATTGTTCCACAAAATGATCGATACAGCCCTTGCGCGCAATATCAACCGCTACATTGATTACACACCTGATCAGTACTGGCCGGGGGCAATGGCACGTGCCTGGCGATACTTCGACAAAATCGGGATTGCCAAGCACGACAAGCTGGATGAATTTGACCAGTCATCTCGGTGGGATGAGGAACAGTTGCTGGCAGCCGAGTTGTGGTTTAACAGCTTGGGATAATGATGTTCATGCCAGGCCCTGCTGTTAAGCACACCAAGAGTTGTTGTCGACCTTCAGTCTTCCGATGCAAGGCTGATTGAACTTATTCCAGCAGCCTTTATGCGGCATGTTGACAGGTTCATGGCTCAATACGAACCCCGACCTGCACCTGGAAAGATGCTAGTCAACCAGTAGAAAGTGCCTCCATGCGAATTTTTTTTGATGTCAGTGCTGACTGCATACATTTTCGGTTCGAAAGCTTTGGGAACTAGACGACGGTTGGCCCGAGAGCGAGACTTGTGATTGTCCAGCACTGTCGAAAAGATATATAGAAAGAGAAAAAGAGAGAGTGGATGTGAAGGAGTGACAGTGTGGATGTGCAGGTGCGATATAGATCTGTAGATGTATGGAGGTGGAGAGGTAGATCTGTGGATGTGAGCGTGCGAAGATGTAAATGCACAAAGGCGAGAGAAAAGATATGCAGAAAGAAAAGAAAGAAAGACAGGACAGATGTCAAGGAGCGACAGTGTGGATGTACAGATGTGATATATGTGTGGGTGTGGTGAGGTGGAGAGGTAGATCTGGGGATGTGAGCGTGTCAAGACGTCAATGTAGAGAGGTGAGGGGGTGTAGACGGAGATGCGTCGATGCAACGGCAGCGCAACGTCAACCTTAGCTGTGCAAGCACAACGCTGAAGAAGTTCAAAAAGAACTGAAGAACGTACATTTCATACTGAAGGCGGATGTGAAGGAGTGACAGTGTGGATGTGCAGGTGTGATATAGATGCGCAGATGTGTGGAGGTGGAGAGGTACATATGCAGCTGTGAGCATGTCAAGATACTCTCGTGGGACACTCTCTCTGGGACACTCTTGTGGGTCACACTTGCGGAAAGCTCTTGCGGGGCACTCTTTTGGGACACTCCTTACTACAAAATCGCCAATTCTCATCTTCCAGCTCCCCAGCTACTCCGCGCACTACAGTTGCACTACAAAGTCGCCAGTTCTCATCTTCCAGCTCCCCAGATACGCGCGCGCATGGGACTCATCGCCCTGTCGCCTGCGTTTCGCGCACTCGACACGCACGATCTCCGCAGAGGGTTGCGCCGGACAAAACCAAATCGCACTCTCGCCTGCATTTCGCGCCCTCGACACGCACGATCTCTGCAGAGGGTTGCGCCGGACCGGGACAAATCGCGCTCTCGCCTGCATTTCGCGCCCTCGACACGCGCGATCTCCGCAGAGGGTTGCGCTGGACCCGGACAAATCGCACTCTCGCCTGCATTTCGCGCACTCGACACGCACGATCTCGGCAGAGGGCCAGGGCCAGGGTTGCGCCGGACCGGGGCAAATCGCGCTCTCGCCTGCATTTCGCGCCCTCGACACGCACGATCTCCGCAGAGGGCTGCGTTTCGTGGTGCTCCGGCGGCACCGCCTAAAGAAGAGCGAGAGGTGAAGATGTGAGATGTAGATGTGAGGATGTGAACATGAGCAGAGATGTAGATGTGCAGGTGTGAACATGAGCAGAGATGTAGATGTGTGAAGATGAAGATGAGCAGAGATGTAGATGTGCAGATGTGAAGAAGGGAGAAGAGAGAGACGTAGATGTGTGAATATGAAGATGAGCTGTGTAGATGCGAGGATGTGAAGATGCGCAGAGATGTAGATGCGCAGATGTGAAGATGAGCAGAGATATAGGTGAGAACGTGATTGTGCAGAGGTGAAGATGTGAAGATGTAGAGGAGGTGTAGTTCTGCAGATGTTTTTTACGAAGAACCCTTCGCAGGCGCTCTCGGGAAAAAAGTGGGAAACGTCGCAAATCTGACCAAGCCACATCTGCTTCCCGAATTCCTGCAGAGGAGTTGCCATTCTGAAGTAGTTCACCTGACTGCCCAAGAGTGGAAAATCCGTTCGGAACCACTGTGAACCCCGCAGGATTCTGAGGGGCAGGAGTTGTAGCTAATCTCCTCTCCCCCTGACCTGTGTGACCAACTGTTGTCAACGACTCAATGGAGATCATCAACCCGAACAGTGAGAGAGGAGTCTTCCTGAGACATGGAGAACTTGGAAGCGTTTGACAAGGCCAATCATATGACACTATGGGTCAACATCCCAACCCCCACAAGTGATAGATTTTTGGAAGAACTGAACAACATTGAAGAGTTCAACCTTGCCATCAGGGTCGTGCCAAACACGTTTAAACATTAAATAAATATTAAACCATTTAAGCTGTAAACTGTTTAACACATTTACAAATCATTTACAGCTGCTTTGGGGATTGCTTTGTTCAAGCATGGTTTAAGCAGGCTTCGATGATGATGATGAGGAGGAGGAGGAGGACGAGGAGGAGGGTTTCTATTTTGTCCATATAGACCATATACCTACCCATACCAATTGTTTAAACATACATGCACTCTTTGGTTTAAACATGAACGTGCTTAAACATATGCCTTTAGACCGAGCCTTTGTTTAAACAGTTGAACCACCAGGAAGGCTACCCACCCCTGCTTGCCATTCCTCTCGTAGATGCAAGCACCGGAAAAGCACCCACCAAAAAAGGGATCAGAAGCCGCTCGGGTTTCGAGTCGTTCCTTTGGACGGAGCTCCCAGACAGGATCTCACGGACCTTTTGGAGCGTCTTCAGTGGGCAGAAGCCCAGGCCCCGGCCACGTTCCCCCGTGGGCGCGGAGCGCACGCGGGGAGCGCACGCGGCTTTTGGGAGGGGGGGGACCGGCTCGGTCGTTGAAGGGTTTGGGTCCTTCACCCAGCTGGGTGAAGCCTAGGGTTCAACTTGACAAGAGTTGGACACCTTAACGGTCCAACGGTTTGACACCCCCAACACGACCTGGTCTTGGAGGGTTGTTTCCTGCGGATTATCTTGGTCCGCAAGGGCGCCCCTGGGATCATCTTCCAGATGTGCGGGGGGGAAGCTACTAGGAACAAGTGCCTTACTAGTAGTAACAAAAAGAATTTAATTTGAATTCTCATTACTAGCAAAAGAATCTACTTCGGAGTTTCTTCAAACGTTTTGAAGCAGAAAGACGTGTTTCTTCGTGAAGACATGGGACCTGGGACCTGGCCAATCGCAATTTGGCCGAACTTGGGAAACTCTGTGACATGGAACTTGGGCCCAAGAAAGCCAAGCTAATGGGGTTATGGGAAGCGGGGAGCACATACAGCTGAAAGATAGGTTTGTCATCCAGTGATTAACGGATTGAAAAGCCCTTTCCACACCCCTTGTTCACCCGAATTCACTGTTCTGGTAGTGCTTCACTCCGAAACAACTCCGAACTGTCGTTGCAACAACTCTTCGCCGGCAGACTCCGTTGCCAAAATCCTCGTGTTGTTCCTTCCCCTCCAAGCCATGTGGACCTTTCTGTCAACCTTCTTCCCAAAAACAAGCACCACCCTGGTCGTCGCCCATGTTTGGAATTGGGTCTCAACCGATGTTCTTATCGTCCACCAATGTTCGCTACACGACCTCTGACGTCGCAGGACGCAGCGGGGCAGTTGCACGATCTGGCGCTCCGGGCTGCGGCACACGCCAGCGGCTCGGCGGAGGGTCTCTGAAAGAGATAGACCGAGCAGATCGCTCGTGTGGAAGCTTGAGTCATTTACAATCCCACCATTTCAATGGTACAAACCTTTTCATATTGCTTTTGTAACCAAGATTCACATCACCACTGATGCCATGTTTGGGAGTGATGCTTGAAGAGAAGAGAGAGGATCCTGGTCACTGGTCTTTTTGTTCCCATGATCTTTGTGTTCGTTTGGCAGTGATTCGTTTGTGTGCGTCGACGATTTTGTCATCAAGTTCTGGGTGAGGGGATTGAGAGCTTGATGTACACGTTACATACTGCTTGTTGTTGGTGAGTTGATATCGAGTCCTCTCAAGAACACCTGGGACAAATGTCACCATGTCTGTCTTAAGAAGACTATAGGTCATGATATGACATATATCGGATAGGTCATGGTTTCAACCCACCCTTTCGTTTGGGGCTGGATGCCATGGGACCCGATACTACGCTGGAATTCCTGACCAAGCTGAACCAGTCGAAGACGGAGATCTCCCACAGCAGTGGCCCACTGCACGGATGGAAAAAAAGATCCAACTGAAGCTGGTGTGCTCCTCCTTGGTGTTTCAGATACCATCTTCAAGTTGCGCTGGGAAGCCAAAGCTGTGGCCTGTTGTCCCTGTGTTCGGTGTCTAGGAAGGGAGACAAACCTGTCACCAACACGGTCAGGTCATCGCTGGCAGCAGAAAAAGGCACAATAAGAATCATAGATTTGCTCCTAGTAGCGATGCCAGGAGCCCCATTCTTAGCGTCCGATCGCTCCGTTCGTAGTGGATCTCATCGACCGGAATCAGGTTGTTTTTGAGTCGTGAGTAGTTCGAAGAAATCTCGACGAGGTGTCCATTTCTCCTTGGAGGCGAACCTCTTGTATCTCTATCACCTCCTTCATGGCCTCAAGAAGGTTCCGGTTCTTCCGGGACGTTTGCCGCGGTGTTGTTCTCGACAGCGAAGCGGTTGGGTTTTGGGCCGCGGGAAGGGTGTGCCGGACCACGTGGCGATCTGTTGGTCCTATTGGATGGTCATCTCTACGGTTGTAGAGTCTTATTGTTATATACTAGTAGTAGGGCACTTGTTTCTAGTAGCTTCTTGTTACTACTAGTAAGGCAGTTGTTACTAGTAGCGATGCACTTGTTTGTAGAGTCTTCAAGTGATAAAAGTTTAAAAGTTGGGTCGGAATCTTCTGGCCAAAACCTTCTTTTTCGGAAGCATTCGTTGGGTCGAACGAAGATGGTCTTGCAGGTGCACTTTCTTCTTGTTTGAAAGGACTAAGAAAATCCAAAAGAAATGCTATTCACTTCATAGACTGAGAAGAAAGGAATCAATCCAGAAGAATGCCTTGAGAATCAGTCACTGCGATACTTCACTTTATAGACCCCGTTTCGGTCTTTGCAAGTCTCCATCTGTTTCCAACTGCAGCCATCAGGTGCTTCCAGCGCCCACGCCGAACGAGGCGGAACCACTGGGCCGACGGGAGCAACAGAAGCAACAGCAGATGAATGCCAGGCGCACGACCTTCGTTCGGGAGAGGAGCAGAATGGTGACAAAAAATTGCCTCCAACCTAATAGCAATGGCCTCCAACGTACGTAGTAGCGATGGTGATTGCTTTTTTGGTTGAACCTCTTTCTGCGGGGAATGCCATGCCCAATGGTCACGCGTCCTGTTGGAATCCATTTTGGGAGGTTGACCCTTGATCCAGTTAGCTTCTGTTTTTGAGGGAAGTCCAACATGGCTTTTAAGCATTGTGCAGTTACTCGAAGGTGTGTGGCATATGTTTGTTCTTTGGGGGGCCTGTCACCCGGCGTTGACTTTTGCAAGTTTGCCTCATCTTAACTTGTTGTGGTCTTTGTTCAGGAGTGGGCAGGAGTAGTTGAGGGCAGTTGCAGAAAATATTTGTTTGACCTTTCTTTACAGAGTTCTTGTTGCCCTGGTTGGTGCCTGGTTGGTGACCTGCAATCGCTGTCTTCGCTCTTCTCAAAGTGTCACGTGTCACGTGACTGCAGTGCTGACAGGCAATACCTGGCCCACGCGTTGGAAATGCTGGCAACGCCCAAGAAGGCGCCGTTCGCGATCTTTTGGCCACCGAGCGAGACGCGGCCCGCCCCAGTGAGATGGAGGGAGGGGCCGACATCCAAGACGTGGTTCATGGGGAAATCCGTCTCAAGCCGACTTCGCTTGGGCTGCTCTACGACGAGTTTCGACCTCAAATAGGTTCGAACACTTCGGCGCTTGTGGCCCCGCCAAAACCAAACTCTGCAGCCGGCCATGCCTTCGTTTCATGTGCGATGCTCCGTCGTCGACCCGCACCTGGTGCAGAGGGGTTGTGGTCGAAATTTCTCCACTGACCCAGTCAAAGTCCAAAAGAATGATCCTTTAGGGGACCTGAAAGGGAGCGTCCTTATGTTTCCTTTATTTCCCGTATTGGAAGAATATAGTCTTTGTGGACTTCTAGGGTGTGGATGTGTGAAACACATGTCCAAGGGGTTTTGCGGCTTGCTTCCGGTGATGTCCCGTATTGAGACACAGTGGGGGGTGTCCACCAGCACATGCCTGACCAATGGGTTTGGGTCTACCTTCTTTGAAAAGTTGGGGTGCCTTGCTTTGCAGTGCTTCGTTCGATTCGCATCGGTTCTCAGATGTTTTTTCTGACTCTTTCTTGTTCACTGTTGTCCACCGGAGTGTCAGTGTAGCCACTCACTTCGGCAGAATATATGGAATAGTTACATGCATTTACCCCATTTGCCGGTGCTTCAAGGACCCAAACCTTGAAAAAGGTGTGTGGAGAGAACCCACCCTAGGCTGAGTGCTCAACCTGCCTGTTTCAGTTTCACCAGGGTCTTGGCTTCTGATCCTGGATCTTGGATCTTATTGTGTTCTAGCTACGAGCAAGGGACTCTTCTAGGGGCTCCTGGCATCGCTACTAGTAGCATTCTTGCTATTGTCTTCTACACCCCAAAGGTCTCCCCACTGCGGTGTATGCCCTCCCGCCAGGGGCCACCCACGACAGTGCCGACGGCTCCGCCGACGGCCAAGCAGCTGGGCCAGTGGCGTGGGACCGTCGGAGATCGTTGCGGAAGAAGTCAGGACGTCGTTCATGTTCCACCTGGTATGATGCCGTTTCGCACCATTGGTAAACAGAAAGTGGGATTGTCCGTTTTCCAGGGTTGTGGCGTCCCCATCCCTACAAAATCGGCCCCTGAAAAGGTCCGAAATGCATGGTCAGGCCGTGAGTATGTCACACGGGACGGGGAGTCCCCGACGGCCATCGGTCGAATCTGGCCAAGCGATGGCGAGAGTTGTTTTGCGGCCGAGCAAGTGTGATTCTTCGGGAAACTAGTACCCAGACACTCCATGTATGGGGTGGTTTTGGGGGGTCAATGTAGGTATATATGGCAGTCCCATGGAGTGTCTGGGGTAGGTTGGAGGCCATCGCTACTAGGTTGGAGGCCATTAGAAGAGTCGACGAAGAGTCGAACGACTAATTACACCTAAAGCGCTGGTGCTGGACGACTTCGTCCAAGGTTGGACTGTTGGACCTTGGGCTTCACGGCAGAGCTGTGCTGCGGCGACGACATGGGCCACGAGGGGAATCCTGCTTGTTGGGATGAGGCCGGGCTGTTGAATCGCAGCAGAGCTGGCTCTCCAAAAGAGCAGCGCGAGTACTGACTGCATGGGGAGTACTGACTGGGGTGGTGTGGGTTCGGGTGCTGCAAAATCCAATATCCCTCGACTGCTTGGATGAAGACACGGAAGGCCGTTCCTGCCACGGCTGCACAAGACCAGCTTATGAAGAATCACAGCTGATGGCATGGTCTCCGCCCAAAAGGCGTCCAAAAAGCATGTATTGAACAATGCATTTGGTTCCAATGTCCAGAACCTCTTTCGTCTGACGGTCGCACGGGTCGCACGGGGACGGTCCGCACGCACAGGGACGGTCCGAACAGCACGGCCGCAGGGGGCGTCCAAGATTCTGTTCAAGCCATTTGGTTTCACAAAGAAGAATTAATAGCTTGTTACTACTAGTAAGGCACTTGTTCCTAGTAGCTTCTTGTTACT